GTCCGACCATTGACTCTCCAATCAACTGACCTGCTGGACCTCGGGACAGTTACTTATAACCTGACTCTTAACCTTTATAATACACGCCCTGCCAGCACGCCTTGTTCCTTTTTATTTGTTTTTGACTTCACAAAACTGCTTTTTCATTCGCATTTGATGCTTTGTCTGGCTAGGTCACCATTAGTTATAGACCTTGGATGCCGTAGAAATGCAGCTGGGTCGACAGCCAGCGGATTTCCTAGGGCAGCGCCGTATTGGGGGATAAACGGAACATTGTGGTTAACCAAATCATTCAGGTACTGGCAAATTGTAAAGATTAGAGCAATCTACCGGCCGACTGTATATAAGATATATATATATATATATATATATATATATATATATATATATATATATATACATATATATGTAATATTGTTTTTAATATGGATAACCCAATGTTATCTTAATCATGACTTCCAGGTAATGTCCATGTGAATGTGGTTCAGGAGTGCATTAGCTACCCCACGAAATTCCGCTTGTCTCGCGTTCTTTTGTCGCGGAATAGGAGAAGGGTCGGGTACCTGCCCTCCTCCCGGCAGATCTCAGGTGACGCGGAGCGCCGTGGCAGTGCGGGACTTTGTACCAAGATGTGTTTGGCAAGAACAGGTGCCAGTAAAGCGCGGGTACGTTCAAAGGCTTCTGTCTTATTCAAAGCATGCCTTTGAGCTTGCAACGACTCTCCACGGTTCTACACATCGGGTGTTTAGGAACGAACCAATGATAACCCTAGTTTCATTTCCCATCGCCATTGGGACGTCAGCTCCCGCAGATTTTCTTTAATGCTTACACTCGCCCAGGCGTGGCCGAAATTAGCTGTCTGTGCGAAATCGAAAGCGGAGGAGCACAAAACGTGATGCTCCGCTCCCCGTTCTGCCATCTCCACACACACATTCCCAGACACTCTCTCCACCGCCGACGGCTAACGAGCGCCCGCGACTGCCCAGACGGGAGCGGGGAGGCGCTGGGCAGCCGGCCGGTCATTTGCGGTCAGCGGCGCGTTAGCCGCCCAGCAAGAGCCGGTAATTACCGCATTACCGGGCACCCAGTGACCCGTGGGCTGCCTCGGCACGTCTGTCACGGCCCGGTGGCGGCATTAGGCCAAGGTCAGGTGTCGCGCCAATGTAGGTCATTGTCGGTGCTAGTCATGTCACTCCGAAAACACACATTTGGTAAACAGAAATCCGATGTGGACTAATTTTGGTTTTCTTCGGTCATTGGTGCTTTTTCGGTCATTTTTTGGACAAGCAACTTTTGCATATTTTTGATTGGCATGCATGCCAATTTTTAAAGAATATGCTCACAAGTGAGCAAAAATAGACGACATTTCAACTTTATCCAGCTGGTTGTGTGAATTATGTACATGTTTTGTTTTGAGACACGTGCTTGATGCCCTAAAAGACCCATTAAAATTAAGTAACATGGCGTGGCTTATTCTCTCAAAGTGAAGTCAAACTGAGCTGATGTCCGGCGAGTAAAAAAAGAAAACAAGGTGTGCTTTTTAGGCAGCACCACTGACGAACATGTCACTGAATGAGCGATAGATGTGGTCAAATACACTAAAAAGTTCACTCATCATACTCAGGCATACGACATGCTGTAAAACAAAAACATGTTGAACGTGCAATTACGTAAAAATGAGTCCTAACGATCAAATAAAACATCCCGGTATAAACCAATCCACCCGATTCTGAAATACAATAGCGAAACCTGACTGCGACGTACGGACGCTAAGTACCTTGCAAAATGCTATCAAAACTACAACGTTGCGCAGACACCACAAAGTAAGCAATTTGCCATTTTGGATAAGCAAATGTGAAATGGACTTTGAATCGAATGAGTGTGTTGGAATGAAAGCAAAACGGTGTTTTTCATAGAGCCGTGTCCAGAGCAATCATGCGAGTGCAATGAGGCTTTTTCCGGTCGATTCCAACTTATTTTCGGATTTTGTCATGTTATTTTGTGCGAACAAATACATTTCCAGAAAAAGCATCGCTCTAAATTGACTTCTACTTCCCTGATCTTCCTGCTTCTGGGAGTAGCATTTTCCTTAAAAAAAAACACAAAAAACAGTGCGGTCTCTCTAACCCAAAGATATGTGTCGTGGATGATGTTATTTGGTCAAAGCATCGATCGTTCTTTTGCGCCTTACTCTAGTACAGGTCACGAAAACCTGTATCTCTTCGGTGACTTTTTCAGCTCTTCTTCACCTAACGAGGTTATGCAGTGGTTCCTCTCGCGTACTGCAGATGGAATCTTCTTGACGCCTATAATATCCATAATTTAGCGTATTCGACGTGAAGAGGATTATATACCTACGCTTGGTATCAGAGCGTGAAAATTTGGGGCCAATGCAGGCATTGGAATTGACGTCATTGCAGCAAGCAATATACTTGCTTTTGTTTTGAGTTACTAAAAATGACTTGCTAAAATTACGTGGAGCATTTCCACACACATAATTTCTGGTTTCAGATTCAAACAAATGACCTACAGCTCACCGAAATTAATTTAATGTCAACGGCCGTACCCAAACCTGGCAGTGGGATCTACATCTGTGATGTTTGTGATTCTTCACGATAAAACTAAGACACCGCCACTAGTTCATGTTACATGCATCCTCTCCTGGGATCCTGTCGCACGCTTTGTGTTACCATGGAACACACCAGTCACAAATTGTGCTTTTCTTCCTCAAGTGTGCAATTGATATCACCTGGATTAGCTCATTGCGAGACGAGCATTCCTCCGACATGGCCCTTTCCCTGATGCAATGCATCAATGAAAGAGCAGCCCTCACTGATCCCGCCGGTCTTTGCAAGGTAACATATAACTCTGCCATCTGTCTGAATGATAAATAGGTTCTCACAGCCTCGTAAACGCGTTCTATAAATGTTTGATAAATGCTCGTAGTGCCCGGAGATTTTGGCAAAGGTTCCACTTACTTCTGTAATTGGCACGTTGCACGACTTTGTAAAAAATTGAAGTGACAGCGCGCGTGTATGGGAAAGATGGCAAAATGAGTTGCGTCATAGCTGCCTTGGGCGCTGCAGGGTTGCAAGAGGTGAATTTTTTCAGGCTCGGCTTAGTACAAAGAGAAATGCCTTTTGTCCTGCTGAGCATGTAATGTGAGTGAAACTATGCCTATTTCATCGCGCTGCGCTGTGATGTATTTTACAGACTGCAATTTAAGGGATATGTACAAGCACCTAAAGGAGACGACGAAGACAATAATGACACCGACAAATGTGTAGCACAGTATCTTGTTGGTGCATCCGTATGAACTCTACATCGTTCTTGTAAGGTTCTCGCTCTTGCTTGGTTGATATAATCTGGGTATATCAGGTTTGAAGAGGAGTGTCGAGTGTAGTCACTTATGCATTGTATTGCATTCATCGACTGACATATCATTCGTGTAAACTTGATGTTCTTGCTCAGCGTAGTAGTAGTAGCAGTAGTAGTAGTAGGTCAGTAGCGTGACCAATACGTCACGAGGATGCGAAACCTAAATGCGATGTCAAACAGGGATGTGGGGCGGGTCCAAAATTATCAGCTCAACCATCCGCTACATGGCTACACTGCAGGCTGTGTTATGTAGCACTCTTTACGTTGAATTGTCTACCACCATGGTACCGCACCACCAACGTCTCACCATCGACCGACGATGGGCAGTTTGGAACAGGACCCATGTAAGCGTTTCACGACCTGGACCCCCCTTCCACCGCATTCAGGGCTCCACATTGTCTGATGCGCCCCAAAGCAGGTACGTGTAGCTTACTGTTGCTAACTAGAGGTGGGGGTGGGGGAAGGGGGGGGGGGGGTCGAACGGTGACCTGACACTGCACTGTTCAGGTCGCGGCGCCACCGGTCGCTCAATGCGGCGGCCCTCAGCGTAGCCAGGAGACCGTGATGAGACCAGCGCATCAACGCTGGCGGGAGCAACGTTGTTCCTTCGTACACAACTGTGCAGTGTATATTTCAGGGGAGACGGTATCCTACTACCCAGAATACTGCCGTCACCTCCAGTGACAAACCTCAGGAAGCAGCGGCATCGGTATGGCAGCCGGCGGAGCCGAACTGAACGGAATACGCACCGATCAGGGTGCGAAATGGAAACACATTTTCCACCTCACCCGGGGCCAGCCGCATCCGGCGATAAATCCGGCGCTCAAGGCGCACCGGCATGCTGACTGTGAATTTGCATCTGAATGTACGGCGGTGGGTGCCGCTGAGAAATGTGGCGGTGGCAAGCGTGCCCTGCACGTGCGCCGGCTCGGTGCCGTCGGCGGGGCGGTCGGCCCACCAGTTCCGGTCACGGTGTGTGACGGCTTGCCCCCGTTACTGGTGAGCCAGGGTTGCCTCGGCCCGGCAGAGACCTGACGTTAGGCAACGGTGCCGTTCGACATAACATAGGCCATCCGCGCAAAACGGCGAGCTTTTTCAAACAGCAAAGATCGTTTGTGAAACTATAAAAGGTACGCTAACAACAAGGTTTTTTAAAACAAATTATCCCGAATGGTTTTGTATGGGTGACTTCGGATTCAGAGTACCTGCTAATCATAGCTTGTTGCGTGTACCCCGAACCCACCAGCCAAGCGTGCCGTCCAGTTCAACATGCTAATTTCGCCTCCGCCCTATCGCCAGACAGGAATGCGGAGGGTTTTTTACGTGCCGCACAATGCTGCGACACGGCCGCCTCGGGTCTGGATTGAGCCTCGTTGGTCAGTTGCCAGCTGGCCTTTCCATTTCATTCGGGTCAAGCAATGCGCTCTCTCTGGGACTCGTACCCAGTGCTGCTGGATTACGAGTCCAGCATCTTTCCCAGGACCACGGAGGCTGCACGGATTTCCAAGACGGCTGTCGTTTGGCGCGGATCGTATCAAAGCAATGCATGTCTTACGACAACCGATGCGGCGAAACTGTGCTCAAGCTGGTTCTAAGAGCCAAAAACCTTTTTATCGTTGCAGGAGCTTGGAATCAAACCTCTTCAACAAGAGCAACGAACTTCAGGAGGAGATTAGCACGAAGCGATTCGACCCTTCAAGTGGCGCAGATCCACTACGCGGCCGTCAAAGCTCAGGTAGGTCCATTACAGGACCTCGCTGAGGGTCTCCAGTTCAAATTACACCGCTCAGACCAGAGTGCGGTCTGAGGCAGACGTGGGCAGCGCCAGCGGCAAGGCAATGCGATGGGTGACGGAGGAAAACACACTGCGGACAGTGATACCCCTGCTGACGTCATTTACTGATCATACCCGCAGCCCGGGGTGAAATGCGATGCCTGGCGAGAGGCCATTCCCCGCGCTCCAATCGAAGTTCCGTTTGATCGTGAGGCGTGATTCCATGCATAGCGAGATTGTGTATCGCAGAAAGTCTGCCAAGGATGTTGGAACTTGTTCGCTGGCTAGTCTCGTGATACGAAATGTTACGAGAGCCTTGGAGGGAGCTGACGGCAAGCTTTGCTCTGAGAGCGAGAGCAGAACTCCTGGTTTAAGGTGGTGTTATGAACGGGACAGGGCCAGATTCCGCGCGTCCGGGTTGCGTCATCCCAGCGAAGGAGGCACCGGAGGGCGAGCCGAACCCCGTATGGATCGACGCCTGGCTCGGTGGTCCGATGAACCGCGCGTGGCACGCGATCCCCCCACGTCACCGATGACCGCCGCCGGTGCGGTGACGGCGCAGTACGTCATTAGCCCGGGAGTCATGCGTCAGACGCCAGCGCTCCTTAAGCCGGTTAGATCCCGAACGCGCTGTTGTTACCCACTCTCCCGCGAATGGAGAAACGACTGCCATCGGGCTGCCGTTAGAAGGCTGGTTCAATGAGCTACTCTACAAAGATGCTATGCATACCGCACCGTATTGCTGTTGAAAGGGTATTTATGGCGTTCGGTATCGTGGGATAAAGCCAGCACAGTTCCCCGCCGGTGAGCCCCACTTCTCACACAGTTCATTTAGCCTACACCCAGCGGCTAGTTGAATATGACACACTCGGGTGAGGGTCAATATCACATCCTCCAGATACCAGAAATGAAGAGAGCTAACGCAGCAAACTAGAGCGACATGGTTATGAGGATTCAGATATCTGAAATTATTCAGATCTATGCCGTGACGTTCGGGTAAGCTCAGGTTAAAAAGGCCCGGTTCGATTTCAATGTTTTGATATTTTTCTTACCCAAAACCTTTTTATGCAACCCCTTTAAACTAACCACACTCTCCAAGCAAAAAGTCAGGGTCATTTCAGGGACGGTTCGTCTACGTAAACTTCTTGGGTCAAAATGACAAAGAATCTTTTAAGGTCACTCTACAGATTTTAATTCAAAATAAGCGTGAATGACCTTTCAGTTCGCATGTTTTTCGGGCAAAAGGTTGATTAAGCTCATGTTATGTTAATGGCCTTCTAAAAGTCAAACAGGGTCACTAACCCAATATGAACACCAGTGACCTTTTACTGAGATAAACTATCCAGGTTGAATATGGTTGCATGACGAGATCTGAGGGCACTTGGTTTGCCGATATTGAGAGTGACCTTGTTCAGCCTTCTTTGTCTTCAAGACTCTCTCGGAAAACTTGGGAACTCAAAATTGGCATAAGTGAGTTTTATACAGGCTTACCTGCCTGTAAATTGCGTGTCTCTAGCTACCTTACTTTACCAGATCTCACGGGACGAATTGCTCCCCCACCGCGCGCGTGACTTTCAACCGGCCACATGGGCGTGTACTAAAACACTAAAACTACATAGCACAACCTCGAGCAGGCCTGTAACTGCGGGCGCCGTCGGCAGTAGCCGACCTGCCGAGGCCCGTAGCGCCGCCCTGGCGCCGCCGTCCGGTGGCAGTCTCTCCATACCATCAGCCGGGAGGTTGTCTGACGATCGGCGGCGTCTTCGTTCGCCGCCGTCCCAGACACGCGACGAATCAGGACGGCACCCGAGGCACGCCACCGGCAGATCACGGACCGCCGGCGGCAGCGGTCGGCGGTGGCGCCCGCCGGCCCGGCACCCGAGGCCGAGCCGCGGCCGCCCGCTGTGCCCGCGGAGCACGGCCCAGCGGCGGCATCCCGTGCGCCCGCGGAACACGACCCAGCCGCGGCATCGCTGGGCGAGGTCCGAGGCATGCACCAGTCCAGCAGGCAACCAATCTAGGAAGAGCTTAATGGCATGGAGATAGTAGTACAGTTAGATATTAAGCTGAACAGGGCTTTGTTGCTGGACCAAGTTTTAGGAGTTCATGCCACTTTGCGCACATCCCGTTGACGAGGCGCTGTCTCAGAACCTGCGGTTCGTCTCTCAGCATCTAGAGACGCGTCAGCGCGGCAGATTGTGGGGCTCGGTAGAAACATTGTAAGACACCAGAATTCAAACTTCTCCAACTTACAGCAAACTTCTTGTGATCTCGTGGAAAACGGCTTAGCCAACTCCACCAGTGGCCCGTTCGCTTTACGTAACTCTAAATCTCCGAAGCAGGCACAAAGGGATGCCACTTCAGGGGCGCCGCTCCCATGCTTGACAACAACAGATGATCTTGCGCTGCGCCTAAAGCCTCGCCTGGCGGCGGCCAGCGTTGGCCCCCTCTGGCTCAGACGACCATCAGCAGGGCTCGGCAACCAGCTGAGCAGGACGGCAGCAGCAACACCACGACATCAATTATCATGCCGTGTTTTGCATAGGGACGTGTATCGATTCAGTCAAGCTAGAATGGATGGAGCATGTAGCTGATAGAGATGCACTGCTGGCGTCCACGGAGCAAGGTACACTGCTGAGTGCGTCCATGGGGCAAGGTACACTGCTGAGTGCGTCCACGGAGCAAGGTACACTGCTGAGTGCGTCCGTGGGGCAAGGTACAGCTGAGTGCGTCCACGGGGCGAGGTACAACTGGAGGCGTCCACGGAGCAAGGTACACGCTGAGTGGTCCACGGGCGAGGTACACTGCTGAGTGCGTCCACGGAGCAAGGTACACTGCTGAGTGCGTCCACGGAGCAAGGTACACTGCTGAGTGCGTCCGTGGGGCAAGGTACACTGCTGAGTGCGTCCACGGAGCAAGGTACACTGCTGAGTGCGGTCCGTGGGCAAGGTACACTGCTGAGTGCGTCCACGGGGCGAGGTACACTGCTGAGTGCGTCCGTGGGGCAAGGTACACTGCTGAGTGCGTCCACGGAGCAAGGTACACTGCTGAGTGCGTCCACGGGGCAAGGTACACTGCTGAGTGCGTCCACGGAGCAAGGTACACTGCTGAGTGCGTCCACGGGGCGAGGTACACTGCTGAGTGCGTCCGTGGGGCAAGGTACACTGCTGAGTGCGTCCACGGAGCAAGGTACACTGCTGAGTGAGTCCGTGGGGCAAGGTACACTGCTGATGCGTCCACGGGGCGAGGTACACTTGCTGAGTGCGTCCGTGGGGCAAGGTACACTGCTGAGTGCGTCCACGGAGCAAGGTACACTGCT